CCCCCCCCCCCTAAAATTTTGGCTGGATCCGCCCTTGGGCTTCCCATTGTATTCCTATAATTTATCCAATCACAATGCGTAGCTACAGCTACGGCAAGATACGATATTTTTGATGCGGTACGGCTACCGTACGACTACGAATTTGCTATATTGTTTCCCACTCATATACGACTATGGAAAAATCGGCCAAAACCTAAAAGCCGCAAACCTCAGTGTCCTTCGCCTTAAATCTTTCCATTTATAGCTGCCGTTCTCAAGGAAAATGTTGATTATGTCACTTCTCACTAAAGATGAGGTGAGTAATCTTTGTCAGGTCTTTTTGTCTCTTCATCAAGCCTCAGCTAGCCAACCCTTTAGTGAATATTCTTGTTAAGTGTTTCCAACTGCATCAAAATATTTTGAACAGTTACATTTCAGGTCTGGGATGCCTGTGTTTTCATCCACTTCTTAGAGAATTTTTTTGGCCATGTGCACTCTCAACCTGCCTTGCCATCGTTTACTGGGCATGACTGATAAAATGCCAGGCCCGTGGGGTCAAGCGTGCAAGAGAATCCCTCTAATATACATATTAATACGTTCCCTTTTCCCCCCTCATGGGAACTAATAGATTTTTTATAGAAATTTTACCCCACTCAAAGATATTATGTAATATCTTCGTATCCTCAACAGATTGAATGGCTGAATGCTTACCATGCTGAGTGTTTGTCTAAAGTTGGTCCAGTCCTCAAAGAACAAGGAAAGAAGGAGGCACTTGATTGGTTGATTGCTGAAACAAAACCACTATAGTGCCAATATGTATAGTGAAGCCCTTGCATACACACAGGCTTCCCATAGAATTAGCCATGTTATTCTGTTGAAGAATCATACAATAGTAATTCTAGTATAGAAACAAAATGATTTTGTTCTATAATTCTGCTTGCCTGCACACAGGGAGCCCATGGAATTAGCCATGTTATTCTGATTAAGAATCGTACAATAGTAATTCTAGTATAGAAACAAAAGGATTTTGCTCTATGATTCTGCTTGCCTGCACACAGGGAGCCCATAGAATTAGCCATGTTATTCTGTTGAAGAATCGTACAATAGTTATTCTAGTATAGAAACTAAATGATTTTGCTCTATGATTCTGCTTGCCTGCACACAGGGAGCCCATAAGAAGCAACTATGCTATAGACTATTATGATGCTCATTGACTCAGTACTAAAACTTGATACATGCTGCATTTTTTCTTGTATTAGCAACAAGTTTCTGTTTTTTTGCAGCTAAAAATAAAAGCATTTGTCATGCCATTTTTAAAATATTATGGAGGGAAAACTCTAAAAACTGTTAAAACTTTTAAAAGGTTTTTGCCACTAGAGTGCAAACCGTATATCCGTGAAATAGCACTAAAACTAAATAGCACTAAACACATCTATTTCTTTCATTTTCAATTATTTTATTGGTGCTATTTTGTACTTATTATTTTGCACTCTAGCATGCTGTGGCATTACAGCAGGCTGGAACTTCCTCTTCATTCAACGACATAGTGAAAAGTTGAAAGTTTCACTTAATGTGTGAAAGAATTACATGAGACGGCCTAAAATATATAATAAATCTTGAAAACATATAAATAATACAGTATGTTAAAGAATAACATAGCAGCTTAATAGTTATAAGAAGATCAACCTAAATAATCTGGATGCTTTTATTTATCCTGACCTCTTTTTCTCAACATCATAAACTCTTTTTTTATGTACGCTACGACCCGAACCCCATTTAAGGACAACACCCATTTATCGATTAAAGTAAGCCTATGGGTTACCTGTGGTGGGGCACTGGGAACCAGTGGTAAATATTGGCAAAGATGGCAGAGGAAATGAAAGTTTGCAAAAGTAATGCTGAAATATCGTGAAAAAATCCCTCCAAAATGGCCAGCAATATCCCCAAAAGAGCCGTTATTTACAAACATGGTATTCTCTCTGAAGGCAAGGTAGTTTAAATGAGTATAGCTTTGAGTTATAGCCATAAAATTATAGATGAAGGTTTGAATTGAATGAATGAATAAAGTTCACTCAAAAAACCGGAACTCGGCAAAAATGTTTAACTACGAGAGAAAACTCGAAGGATAAAATAATGAAACGTTAACATATCTTTTGGGAATGCTTTACCTAGCAGATATAGGTCTTAGGAAAGTGTATGGGTGGTTTAAATCTGTTCGTTCCTGCGTTAAATGTGAGTTTTATTTCAGCTTGTTAGTGTTCCCAAAACGATGCAAGAACTAGAACGACTTGTCAAAGAGAAACTCCAGCTGAGCTGTGTAGAAGGGATATATACATCTAAAGGAGGCCGTATTGATAATATAGAACTAATAAGGTGGGTTGTTGCACTTGCATACTGTATTCTGGAGCTGACTAAAAGGTGTGTGTCCAGGAGCGGCAGATCTAAGGGAGGGGTGCAGGGGGAGTGCACCCCCCCCCCCCCCCAGATGAGCTGATATCTACTGCATTATTAGTGTATGCGTTTGTAAGCAAAGGGTGCACCCCCTCCTAATACGAAAATCCTGGATGGCTCACACTCCCCATCTGTCCCTGGTGACTTACATGTGGTTTCATATATCATGCATGACCTATCATAGTGTAATGGAAGGAGGGGTGCTAAAAAGAGGGGGACCCAGGGGGAGGGTTGAGGGGGGTCTGGACCACCGCTGCCATACCTGAGGTTCAATTGATTATTTTATTTTATTCTAGAATTTGTTAACAGGTTTCATTTACAGAGTGTAGGATAGAAGTGAGTGGTCATGATAAGGTCTTTGCTTACTATATGATTATTCCATCCTTGGGCTTTGGTTTATTAGTTGATGCTATAGCCTATCAGAATGCAGAAAAGTTGTTTCATATCTGCTATTCAACTCTTCCTCTCAGAAATCAGATAAAAAGATTATATACAGTGTACTTTTGTCACTTAGGGATGATGAGGTCTTATATATAGCATCTGAAAAACCAGGTTAGTTGGGGTTAAATCTTATATATTGTATATTAAGAATATAATATGTGTAGTACTGTAGTTAACAAAGCACACAGGAAGTGACGTAAGCACAAAAATATGTCATTAAGAAAGCAAAGCTAACTCTACCAATCGGAGCGTAATGTGTACAGTACTATCTATCTTTTCAAAATTTTAATTGTCATCTTTTATCATTTTCTCATAGCATCAAACAACATTGACTTTGTTCCTTCTCTTCTCCATCAACAAATGAGCAAAGCAGACGACTTGATACCAAAATGTGAGTTGAAGCTGTTTTTATCTTTCTATAGTCAACAACAAGTTTTGGATGTCTCAGGAATTTTGGCTTCTGTGAGCAACAAAATGAAAATTGATGATAAATTTAGATGTGCACAAGACATTACTCTGATTATATTATATATTCTTTTATCTTTAGCATATAGTGATTGGGTGACGCTCAATGTAGGAGGACAATTATTTACTACAACAAGGTGCATAACACTTAAGTGGTGTAGTTTTATTGCAAACATGTGCTTTCATTATAGCTATGTAAAAAAAATGGTTGGTAAAGGTTTTGATACGTATATATCATAAATTATTTCTTTCTATCTTTCTTGTGTTATTTCAGAGCTACTTTGTTATCAAAATCTAACAGCATGCTTGCCAAGATGTTTTCTGTCACAGGTAATATAACATTTTATCTAATAAACCATGCCATAATATGTACGTACTTGTACTTATTTTATAGCCTACTAGATCACTTTTATTTGGGAGACAAATAAATCTTTTGTCTTACTTTAGTCATGGCTATTATCATCATCACTCTTGTCATCATCATCATCCTCCTCCTCTCCATCATTATCTTCGTCATCACTATCACCATCATCATCTTCAACATCACCATCATCAGTGTCATCAACATTGTCATTATCAACTTCATCATATTATCATCATCATCATCATTATAAACATCATCAACATCACAACACCATCAACATCTTCATCATCAACATCATCATCAACATCACAATACCGTCAGCATCTTTTTCAGTGTCATCATCATCTTTGTAAACATCATTATCATCCCTCATCACCATCATCATCATCATCACCATCATCATCATCCTCATCCTTCAATTTGACCTATTTTTCTTTCACTTACTGGGTGTACTCACAAGATAACTCTCTTACTGAATATCTGTAGACTCTTGGTGCAGCATCAGAGATCCAAGTGGAGCATATTTGATTGACAGGAGCCCAGTGTACTTTGAACCTATTTTGAATTACCTAAGACATGGCCGTGTGATTCTTGATGAAGGAGTCAACCCCAGAGGTAGTTTTTTTATTTACAACATACTTTGATGATTATGTAATTTTTATAATGATTTTTGTATTAGTGGGAAACAATACTGTACGTGTGACTCACTCAGCCATGTTGTGATTGGATAAGGGACAGTTCATTCTTTATCTGTAGGGAGTAGTTGGATTCGCTTGATAACCTATACCAGAAATTTGACCCCCCCTCTCCATTGTTGCATTAAAAAATGGTCCTTCCAAGATTTTCTGTACTGTTCATTTAAAAGTGCTGTTTAACTCAAAACTTTCGTTGTGTCCCCTCCCCCTCCCCCTCCCCCTCCCCCTCCCCNCCCTACCCCTCTTGTACATGAATGTTTTTAATACCCCCCCCCCCTCAAATCCCACCATTTCCCTAAATCACTGGAAGACAATGGGGAGCCTCTTTTCTCCCCTAATATATATTTTTTAAATAATTATTCATAACTTACACTACCACTACTATACACCTTTGCAGGTGTTCTTGAAGAAGCTAAGTTTTTTGGCCTTACAAGTATGATGGAGGAGCTTGAAGAAACTGTCAAGGTACAGACATTTTTTAGGCACTCACAGTCAAAGGATATGAACCCTGCCCCTTAGACTGCATCATTGAAATTCTTTTTTTTAATTTCATTGAGCTGCGATAAACATGTATGACTCCTTGTTTAGCAGAACTAGTCAAGGCTCATTGGAACGTAGCTTATCTTTGATTGGCTAAGTTTGCTTTGTTTTGATGGTTCATCATTTTTTGTCTCAAATGCAGCATAGAGTTCGAGATTTCATTTTATTTCTGAATACGTTAACAGAAGATTGAAAACAAAGAATGAATTGAAAAAATCCAATAAATTAACTGAATAATGCAGCCTAGTGGGACTTGCTTCATGTCTCTTGAAAGTATCGGAATTCCCATTGTTTTTAATCGCCTTCATCACTAGTTGTCTCCTAATTAAAGCTTGATCTCATTATTAAAAGATGGAAGTAGTCAATGGTATTTTATTTTTTAGAAAATAGAAAAACTTCAAGATGAATCACTAAGTAGAAATGAATTTGTGCGAATTTTGCTGTCAACACCTTCAACAAGAGAATTGAGATGCCAAGTAAGTACTTGTAAGATATGACAAGATGATGCCTCTTTAATGGTCTGCACCCCAGTTGGCAAAGCAGAGTTTTAAATAATGGCTGATCAGTCGCCAGTCATTGACCTACCAAACTAGATAAAGCTGATTCATACCTTGTTTCTGGCTCAATGTTACTGGTCAAGATACCTGGCAAGGTAAAGAATTGATCAACAGCTGTTTTTTTAGCCCTGGCAAAGGTCTAGCCATTTGCAAATATGTTCTTATATTTTGAGAATGATTGTTGGTCTAGCTCCTAGAGCCAACCATATGAGCCAACCTGGCAGCTTTTTTCTTCAAATTGACAGAATTTTGAAGAGGTGACTTTTTAAGGTACCAGCACAAGTACCGCAGGAAACCCACAAAAGGCGAGAAAATGGTGAAAAAATAGTATCTCAAATTTATGGAAAATTACATTTGAGAACTTCAAGTAAACTGAGTGAAACTTTGCCCTGAAAAATGTTTTCGGTTATATACAATCTTTTTATATGTGCAAAAGGTCACCCCTGGATCTGCTCTTTATATATCACCCCTCAAATAATCATGGTTCTGTCTAAAACTAAGGCCGTTAAGTTCTGCAAAGTGCCCATGCACTTCTCTGGAAAGAAGTGGGAATCACCACAATTGTCTGGGACTTCACAAGATTCTAGTATCAAATTAATGTTTATTCTTCCTGCAGGGTATCAATTTAGAAGGTGCGGATCTCTCCAACTTGGACTTGCGGCACATCAACTTTAAGCTGGCTAATCTAAGTCACTCAGACTTAGCTGGAGCAAACCTGTCACACTGTTCATTAGAAAATGCTAACCTCTCCTATGCACATTTGGATGTAAGTCTGCCAATAAACTGTACACTTAATGTCTGGTCGCTAGGGAAATAGTTAGTTTTCCCCGAGAGTCTCAATGTTTCACAAGRTAAAGCCAAGTTAAGTGTTAAAAAGCAATTGAGAAATGTTGAGAAGTCAGTTTACGAAATAAGAACTATATTAAGCAAGCTAAGTGTATGAAAACTAACAAAAGATATTACAAATACAACTCGCCTACAGTCTTGTATTTTGGCTACCAAAAAGCGAGGAGAGTAGCAACAGCATTTTTAGCCGCTTTTTTCGTATTTTCCAAATTCTTTCTTTTTTAAATGAACATCAGTGTTTCTTTGTAGAAATACTGAAAAAAAAATTTTTTCTTCAAGCTTTGTTTGTACGGAAAAATTCCAGCAAGATACCTGCTCCCGCTTTGTTGTTTGCGATTGGTGCAAAATGTCACGCCACTAGCGGTTTTCACGTTCTGATCACGTGCACATGTTTATTTTCACCCTTCTTGTCACATGCAACTTATTGCTTAGCTGCTAGTAGAACAGACTGTAAAAATGTATGTATGTAGAAAATTCACTGTCATGTTTATTTGAATAACATATAGGGAGCCATCTTGGGGAATACGAGATTTCAGAGAGCCAATTTAGAAGGAGCTTCCTTGCGAGGATGTAACTTCGAAGATCCTACAGGAGTACAGGCTCATCTTGAAGGTGATCATTAATTTTATTAAACCAATTATGAGCTCTGGGCTTATACTCATTCAAAAGGGTTTTTTGATGGGCTTATAACCAGGAGGGCTGGAGTATGGGTATGGTTACTGTATGGAGTAGATGGACGGTAGAGTGGCTGCCAGAGGTGCTTTTAGTCTCAATTGAACTGTGCCACTGCTACCCCTGTTGCTATCATCATCATCATCATTATCATCATCATCATTATTTCCTTTCATTATCATTGGCATTCATCATCACCAACATCACAATCATTCTCATCATTACCTCATTACTATATGCTATCTTGTCATGAATCTTAATCTCATCACTTTCTACTTTAGGTGTGAATCTCAAGGCTTCTGATTTAGAAGGGAGTCAAATGACAAACGTTATTCTACGAGTTGCAACTCTTAAAGGAGCCAATCTCCAGAACTGTAACCTAAGGGGTGCAATACTAGCTGGTGCAGACCTGGAGGTGAGTTTGTATTCTAATCATGTGTATGAAATTCAGAAACTTTGTTACAGTCTTACTAACATTGCAAAATAAATGAAGGTTATTAGTCAGCTAAGCATCTGATATGGCTGTGTATTTTTACAAGTCACGGAGTATATTGGTGAGCCTTTAGGCAAGCCAAAATACAAGTGACGAGTAAAAATACATGGCCATATCAGATACTTAGCTGACTGATAAGTTTTTTATCATTTAATTCTGCAATAAAATGCTCAAACTCCCTCTAAACTCTATCTTACCTGATCATGAGCAAATGAGAAGTGCTGATACAGGAAAGCCAGATTAATGTTACTAGCCAGATATGGTCTGATATCATTCATGGTCTTTTCCCCTATCACGAACGTTCTTTGCAGAATTAAATGATAAAATATGTTATTAACCATAAGTTATCTAACATATGGTCCTCAATAACTTTGTCCATAGACCTCTGGCTGGAGTGTAATGTTTTACAATATTTTAGATCACATATCACTCTCTTAACAATAAGTTTCTTTGTTTGACTTGTATCCAATTGCTGTGTCTTTTCATGTGCAACCATTAAACAAAGAAATGATGCTCAAGGGAATGGCACAAAGGGCTTTCATAATTTGAAAGTTTGGAATACCAGTCTTAGTTCACAGTCATAAAAGACAATATTTAAGAAAATATTTTTTAAGTAATGGACTTAGTTTAAAAGGATATTTTTTTAATTATCATATAGAACTGCAATCTGAGTGGCTGTGACCTCCAAGATGCTAATCTTCGAGGAGCAAATGTCGTAGGTGCCAAATTTGCTGAGATTTTGGGTCCCCTGCACATGTCCCAGTCTGTAGGTGCCTATTTAGGTAGAACCACTACCAGCTCTCCTGATTAGGCACCTATTGGAAGGTTTAAAGTTTGTAATGAAAATTCAACATTAAGGTACCAAATGCTAAAGGTGATTAAATCAAAGCCCTCTTAATGTCCCACTGTGTTGGTATATGTGTAAACTATACCAGCCTACTATACAAGGTTTAAACTTTGAACCTTGAGGGGCATAAATTCTTTAGGCAAAAGAATTTAGTACCTATTAGATGTTTCTATCTATTGGTGCCTGTCTAAATATAATACCAATATGTCTCAAATACAAGGTTTCAATTTGAAACCCTGAGGGAGCATAATTCAGAACGTGTTCAATTTAATGACACCTACATGTCCCAGTCTGTTGGGGCATGTAAAGATAGGACAATATCAGCTCCTTGCAGCGGAACCCTATCATGTATAGTGATAGCTTGATCTTGGTACCAAAATGCTGTAGGGAATAAATCCAGTACATTGTAAACAATGTGTTAATAATATACCATTATTTTTTTACTCAGAATAAATTTTAAAAACTTTTACTATATACTAACTTTAATTTATAACTACACTGGTTTGCAAAAGAGGAAACATAATATTTTTGGTTCTTTCGTGAAAATTGTATTGTATTAATGCTTAATTTTAAGCTACTGACTTAGTTTTTCAAAAACTAGCTGGTAGATTTTTTCTATTTTTCACAATCTAAAATACAACTTTTTATCTATAAGCTATATCAATTTTCAACGGTATTGAAGCTGCATTCTTTTCGTAGGGTGCCTCCTGCAGACAAACACAACAGGGCCAGGATTTTTCCTAAAGGGGGGGGGGGGCATATTTAAAAATCTGCCATAATCTTTGAACCCAGAAACAAATTAAAAAAAAAAGAGCCGGCATTACGTACTACGTTTTGATTTTGCAAAACTACGAAGGGGGAGGCCAAGGTCCCCTCGGCCCTCCTGCTCACGCGCTTGTACAGCTGTAAACCAAAGGGATTTAAAATTTAAGCAACAACGATTTACTTTTCCCCTATTTTTATCTTTATTCATTCACTCATTTTTTATGGTCCCCATTTTTGTTCTGGTGGTTCCAATCACTGTTTCGTCGTTTCCTATATTTGTTCCAGTGGTTCCGATCACTGTTTCGTTTCCTATATTTGTTCCATTGGTTCTGATCACTGTTTCGTC